GCGGTCGAATGAAGGCGGCTTTATTGAAATGCACACGAGGGAGTAACATGGGGTAGGTTCTCGGGTCGCGTGGACAACACTCTTACAGAATATTAATAGTCCGACATGCACTCCGTGTTATCTCTCCTCTTCTTCGCTCTATCTCTGGTTTTACTTTTGGAAACCGTGTTTACATACATATAAATAAATGCATAGATATATTAAGCCAATATATACATATATATATATATATACCTACAATATTTGCGTATTGAGGTAGGTGTACAACTGCATGCGAGTCATGTCATGCCAGTGCATCGCCAATGCATTCTCCGACAATCACAAGACGCGCGTTCAAAAGACACGCATAAAGGGAATCCCTATGTTTATGGACGAACTGTCCGAGCGAACACGATCATCGCTATTCAAGACGGATGATCCTAATAACGGCGCGAATTCGATTGACCGAGGCAAAGATTTCCATTCAATCGGAAATCCTGATGCGCATAACATGCATAGCGGATTCATATTTTTTTTAATTATACATGTTATACATATACATAAATACCGTACAGCATTTCGTATAGAAAGAAATTCGAATAAAACATGTTTATGTAATATTATGTTAATATTGTTTGTTGGCATTTAACAATTATTTTTTTAATAACGACGAGACTATAAAATTGTCATATAATCATATGATTCTTGTGTGTAAAATAATTTTATTTATATAATATATACTTTATATTATATTATACTAAATAATTTAATATAAAGTTGTGCAATGAGTTTGTAATAAGCAGGTTTTTATTACTATAGCTTTCGTCATCGCAATATTTGTCATTCAAAATAAGGAAAAAGGCAATATTAAAATAAAATAATGCCACAAGAATTTAAAAAATGAATAATAACAAGATTTAATTCTGCTAGAAGAAATGTGGTCTTCGATCAAAATTTCTAAAGGAAAATAAGTTAGAAAATAATAAATTAGAATAAATTAGAAATAACTTGAATAAAATAATGTTAGTTTATTATTATGTACACTATACATGCTCGTGCCTACAGCAAAATTTCTTAGATATATTAGCCACGTGTGTTAGTGATCTCCAAGTGTCAAGAACTATGAGATAGATAGATAACAATAACAAGACACGTGAGCGTACGTATGTAGGTTCTCAGGATTATACTTGGAAGACGTCGACTGATATTGCTGATAGTCTTTTCTGTTGGTTACAACACCGACAGGAAGAAATCGATGTGATTTCGCTGGGAGAATCCCCGTATCTCTTTCGTTGTACGCTTCATTGCTGCAATAAAGTTTTACCTATCATAATGCAAACGAACCATCATAAAAGAGATTCTTTCCATCGTCTCTCATTTATTTACGGAATATAGCTACGTCAATCTGAATGTGCAAGAACGCATATCTTACAAGAATTATTATCAAAGATATCTCAGAAACTTTAACGAATTAAAAAAAAATTGATTTTTGTCTCAACTTGATAAAGCTCTGATTCTTGATTAATTCCAGACAGATCGCATTTGTCTACTTCAGTTCCAGAAAGTATCAGACAAGTAGTATTTAATAAGTTATGACAAATTATAGTCTTTCCCGACAGCTGCAATATAATTATCACAAACCCATTACGTCGTTGACGATAAAACAACGTCAAAAATCAGTCTCGAAATCATCGGCATCGTCGAAATTACGCAATATTTAAGATGCGACGGCGCGATATCGATCGGGACACAAACCTTAATTTCCAAGATATATCGCCGTCTAAACACGGACGTGTTCTCCGTGGCGGCAGCCGCACCCGATACCAGCAATTACTCATCCCGGAGGTTTTAATGAAATCGGCTATGATTTAGCGTTATAGAAAAGTGGTATGCGCGCGATATGAGCAAAAAGATGGACGGGAAGAAGGACGTGACGTACGGGGACGAAATCAAAGCATACGCGAAAACCGGATGCGCAGGTGAAGTTCTCTCTCCTGTAATAGGGGTACTCGCAATTTACATATGTATCTACCAGCCTAGCATATACGCGAATCCTTAGAATGTATCCTCGTCGAGCGACGTATGTTCGCTCTCTCTTCCTTTTTTCTCTCTTTCTTCCTTTTTTTTTCCATCTTCCTCTCTCTCTCTTTCCTTTCTTACTCTCTCTTTCGTCTTATGATTCTTCGCTCCCTTTTAACCTTTTTCTCGTGTTACCTGTCTAAGAGGTACACCAGTCACGTACGCGAGCGGCACGCAATGCGATACGTGCTCGCATTATTCCAAAATTCGATCGCCAATGTACGAGCTTCTATCTCGATTCGGAGCTTTTTCGCATCGCGATGTGCGCGGAACCCCACTTTTTCTGAGGAGCAACGAGGAACGCAGAGTCCATCGGCGAAAGCTTTTTCTTGCGCGTCCCTATAAAGACTCCCGCGAGATAAAATTATAGGGTCTCGTGAATTATTATGTCGGATTCGCTTGAAATACCTTAATAAGAGATCGATGTCAAGTATTTTGCTCGATTATTATTTGTGGCATTGCATACACGTCGGATATCAATTACGCTGTGCATCATAAGTTGTTATTATTAAAGCTGCATTTATCAAGCACTCTGGGATTAAATCCCTCAAATAAGAATACGATAGAAGGAGGAAGAAACTAGAGAGATTTATATCGAATCTCAGAAATAAATACATGTCAACGTGACATTACTACGAAATATAAAAGTATGACAAATTAGAAGAAATTGTTGTAATTTCGATAAGTTAAATTTAATGATAATACTGATTTTAATATTTGTTTCATAAAAGATTCAATGTTTTCATGCGTGTATCATCAAAAAAACGAATTAAAATTACAACGGTTTCAATCTCTAGATATTACTCTGAGAAAGCTAAAATTTATTAGAGTCTGCAACTCAAGAAGATATGTGATTGTAATTAATTCTCCATATATAAACTCGTAAATGCAAAAATTTACTACTAATGCCGAACCATAAAATTTGATCGAGTGACGGTGAAAATATTCTCGAAGAATAGTTTCACGCCGCGCAAATGATCAACGAATACTATTAATGTAGCGAAGAGAAAATTCTCAAGTGAAACGTAGGATGATAGCAGACAAAATGAAGATTACACAGACAAGAGGAGAATAGCTTCGCGTTCGCGGCGCGGTATTTCATCGCCGTGAAATCTATGTTTGCATTTCGCCCGGAATGAAGTTTTCGCCCGGATGATCGCGCATAAATTCATTGTCTGGACGAGTAGGCATTATGCAGAATCGCAGCTACGGAATCGACTACCACACACTCGCGCGCTCGAGATTTCTTCGCACAAAAACTTGCGTATATATACGTACGCATGTCCGCGATGCATGCGTTCAATGATCGGATCTCCGACCCGTTCGTGCCTGTGCAAACAGCCGTCGAGGAAAATATTTGCACAGGATAACTCGGATCCTCATTATCGGGGTGGCTGGTCTTCTCTCTCTCTCTCTCTCAGGAGCGACGGTTGCCCAGGTGCGCGAGGAAGAACACAGAAGAAGTAAAAGACGTAGGTAGCGCGAGGGAGAAAGAAAGAGAGACGAAGGAAGAAAGGGTAGAAGGGAGGGAGATTGATTCGACATGCATAAATTAGAGAGGATGAGCCTTTATTCCGTAGTGCGACTCACGGGATCGGGATCGGGATTGGAATTAGGATGCACGAGAGAGAGGAGTATAAATTGATGACTGCAGGCAACAGGCAGGGGTTTATAATAATTAATCTTCATGCGTGTATACGTATTTACGCGACGTAACTCTCCCTCTTCATTCTTCGTCGCCCGTCTCATCGTCATCTGCTCCAACCCGCGGTGGCAATGCGCGAGATTTCTTTCCCGATTCTCGATTAAGTTTATCCTCGCGTCGCATAGAGAAACAGGTGATACGCGTACTACGGGAAAGGTCTAAGTATGTGTTAAAAGATGCTGATTTCGAAATATATCAAAATTGTGATGAATAAAATTATCTACTTTGATTTGGAAACATATTACGGAATGACGTACGTGAACATAAATGTATAATTAAATAATTACATAATAAATGTGTAATATTAGTATTTTTTTTTTTTAATTAAAATAAAAATTCCTTGCTTGCATAAATCAATTACATTAAAATATTCGTCAACACAAAAAACGTGATAAAAACAAGAATAAATAAAATAAATTTTTTCAAAGTAACGCAAACTCTTTCTATTAAAATATTCTCGGAAACGCGTCGCGTCGCGTCGTCGGATATCGTCAAGTCGTTCTCGTCTCGCGCGCACTCCCATGAATCTCATCTTGTCCCGGCCACGCAGCCGGAAGGTATTACTTCGGAAAGTAACGACCAATGACAAATATCCAGGTGGCTAGGTACGGAGTCGAAAGCTCGTCTTACGTACTCTCTCTCTCTCGTATTCACATGGCGCGATTAGGTATCGCGATGTAGACGATAAATTACCGGCACAACCATGCGTCGCACACGACGCGCTTCCACCGCTGGTGGTCATTGCTAAATTGAGGAATCATCAGCGCGGCTTATGCGCCGCGATTATCGCTAATTGATAAATTCGATGGGTCCGCTGTAATTTATTACATTCTACCGAGCTCGGTTATTTCTAACTGTTATCCCGCGGCGCATTCATTACCGCGGTCTTTACCTCGGGAAAATATTTTTTTTCCTTTTTTCACATCGTGCCGTTTATGATCGTCGCCAACAGCAGGAATCGGCTTCTCGCGATGAGTATTGTGGACCGCAAAGGACACTATTTTGCATGCCCGATGGAGCTATAAAACATTGCCATCGGAATCACATTTTTTAATTGATCAATATATTTTTACCCAAAATAATTTCTCATTAAATTTTCTATACACATTCTAATGCTAGATAATTATATTTTATATTTATTTAAAAAATGAATCAAAGATATCGATGCAATGATTATCCGCTTATATAACGCTTATGCTTTCAATAATATTAAAAGGACCGCTTTGTTTAATTACAGACGACGCAGTCGCAGTGAGGAGGACACAAACGGCACCGTCGTCAGTGACGACGCGCAACAGCAGCAGGGCTACGTATCCGGGCAGCGTGAACCGGAAGAAGAAGAGGATCTGGGGGCGGAGGAGGCAGCGGCACAGTCCCTGCAAAGCGGCGCCGAGGACACCGATCCGGAAGTGCACAAAAGAGTCGCGGTGCAGGTGCAGGTTCAGGGTATGGAGGGCGACTGGCGCGCCTACTGCGAGCATCCGCTCTCAGTGGCGACTGCTGCGATGCTAAATCTTCAGCAGCAGCATCAGGTGTCGGCGGTAGCCAGCCACGGCGATGACCCTGGCGCGTCCTACGTCTACGAGTATTATAAACTGCCCGAGAAAACGGCTGCGGATGTCAAGTTGCCGCCTACACACGAGCTCTGGTCCACGTGAGTACTGATTTTATATCTTACGAAAATTTCATCCGTGAGACAATCCTGGATCTTAATAATATCGGATCTATATAATTTATATTATCTTTTAAGTCTCTTCTCTAATTTTTTGTGACACGGAAAAATGTATCCTTTCTTTCTTATTAATTGAGATAACAACAAAATTGAAAGCTTTAAGCAAAGCTTCAAAGTGCGAATTAATCTTGAATAAAAATGAGTTGAAGACAATGGCCATTATTATGCACGCTTTACGCAATGCACTCTTCATCGCTTCAGAACTTCGCGTACGCTTCGCTCTATCTCGCTATTTCAGATTCTCATCCGCGCGTGTAAGCTTCGTAATCATACGTGAGGCGAGGGAAAAAATCGCGATTTTCCACGGTTCTATCCACGGAATATAATCATGCTCGTACAAATGCAGGAAGATTCCGCTCGCCTCTCTCGCGCGCTTAAATAATTCAGGAATATTCACTTGCCCGAGAACGTTCGCATCAACATTGAAAAAATCAGCATTGATCAACCGACTGACTTTTCCGAACAAAATTAATTCGCTGAAAAATAGCTTTAAAATTAATTTATATTTATTTTTTAAGCATACGGATATTTCAAATCAGTTGTAACAAGAGAACAATATTGCTCGCACATAATCCTCGTAACATATAATACAAATTTAAAAAGAATTCGTTTTCTTTTATGGAATAAATGAATAAAACATAACTCTACAGAATATTAAAACGATTCTGCATTATCGCAGAATTATCCGACAATTTGTCAAGTTTTTTTCAAGTATTATGATTGCCTCTCTTTCTGCATTCCAATTTTGTACTTATAACTTTCTCATATTATGACTAGAGTTATTATACAATTATATACATATAAAAAAATAATTTTTATAAAAAGCAAACATGGGGGAGAATTATATTATTATTCGCGGGAATCTTTGAAAATTTGTGGCCTCGGCAGTAATACTGTAAAAGCGTCTCTCGCATGTAACGCACGTAATTTATGCACTCGCGCGCGGTTCTTCTTCACTCGATGCACTTAATTTAGAAGCGCGTGTGCACGTGGCCGCTCGTACGTGGCTCATCCATAAACACGTGCGTGTGCGTGACGACTACGTACCGCGGGTGCATCCGGAGGACTCGATTAGCGTAGATCCGCAGATAGAGCCCCGTGTCCCGATGCAGCGAACACACACTCTCTCTCTCTCGCGGCGTGGCTCATCGGGCGCGCGTTATTAGCTATTCGTGTTTCGCCGTATCTCGATTAATAGTCTCGACCGCGTAATTGAGTGCTCGCGGTGAGCGTAATTCGTTACCGGGGGCTGATTACGCGGGACAATCGCGTGTAAAATCAGTCGGCACGAAGAGACGTTTGACGCGTTAATTAGATAATTCGTATTCTACCGAGCGCAAATGTATATTTTCGTTCTCTTAATGGCGAAACAAATGTAGAAAGAAGTATGCATCATTTCAACACTGACGTAATATACGTTTAAAATTATTTTTTTTTTTAAATACAATATGAAATAAATAAGATTCACGCTGAATGAAAGCGAGGGGAATGAAGTCGATATTCTTCTTTTAACGTGTGATGTATGTCAAAGTAAGTTAATAAAATCGTTTACGTCGCAAGAAGAGACGCACGAAATGAGATGGGCTTTGTACTCGTGCACGGTTCATTTACGCAGACTATAGTTATATGTAGTTCGAAGAAACAGTAATCACAATTCTTTAGGAGTTTATCGATATTCCATAAATCTGTCTCGCTTAAATGAGTGCGCAGCGTGCCATCGATAAATGAGGCTTTTCGTTTTCTCTCTCTCCTTCTCTCTGCTCGCGTGGAACCTCGATTCTATATCGCTCTCTTTTGCATTACGCCGAAGCAATTTAGCGGCGTTTAGTTGGGTAGATATATTACTCTACAGTCGGGCCTATTTATATCTCGCGTTCGAGTCTTCCGGTCCATTTGCTCGGTTTGCAAACTGCACCACCGTGCGAGAAAGAGAGAAAGAGTTTCTCCCTCGTTCCCGATTCGTGATGGGGGTCTCTCTCTCTCTCTCTTCTCATATTTTGGGCCCGGTTGGCCATGGAGAACGCTATGGAGGAGAATCCCTTACCCCTTGGAATCCAGGAGACGGAGACAACGGGTCTAAAGGACTCTCTCACCCTTCGGGGATCCACGGACGCCCTACGTTTGATTTATATCGGCCGCTTAGCATATTTTGTAATTTACTGTTGAGAATCCTCAACGTACGAATCGTGTCAGATACGAAGGCAGCTCAGAGAGGAGAGGTTGTGCGGCGAAATGCGGCGGCAGCAACTGCAGCGCGGCATCAGGAACATCACCAACAGCAGTTTCTGTTACCGACCTCGCCATGGGGAGATGCCGCCCTAATCTTCCCTCGCATCTTCTTCTCTCTCCCTGCCTCTCTCTCTTTCTTTCTCGATCTGCATCTCCTACTCCCGTTCTCTCTTCCCGCTGAGAGATGATAGCATCTCGACAATTTGTACGGCGGTAGATCGTTAAAACTCCTCTCTCGCTCTCGGCTGTCGCATCGCTGCGAGAACGAGGAGACTGTACCAAGGGCACAACTTTAATCCAATTTCATTGTGTCGCACTCACTGAAGGGATCAAGCGCTTCTTGGATCGCGACTGCGAAAATAGGAAAAAAAAAAACACGATTCGGAGGAAATGTATCTTGACATGGGGACAACATAGAACGAATTCGCACGCAAACGTTTGCGTGTTTTTTGCGGCTATTATACATATATAGATACGATTATGATAATATGCATCGATGCGTTTTCCACTGCCGTTGAAACGCGCGTTAGAAAGAACGCGCTGCAATTTTCTCACGACTTTCCTAATGGGGATTTAAGACAGGTTTGTTGTCACATAGTGAAAGCTTAACGGGCAATTCGTTTTATCGCTTTTCTCGGAGCTCATTTTAAATTAAATAGACTTATTGACTGCGATTACCGCAAATCAAAGTTTTGTAATGATATAGTCTTATATGATGGAACGCGTTAAACGAGTTTCCAAACACCAACACTTTAGCCAAATGTGCGACTAATTAAATTAGACTTTGTTTTCAATTGCAAGAAAAGAAATTTTGAAAACTTTGCAAGCTCGCACATACTCGCACTTGACTTTTAGCTAAAAATACAGCTTGAAATCTTTATGATATTAATTCTAGAATTTTATCATATTTTTATTCTTTCGGCATAAATAACAATGCAGGATCTTCTGCCTCTACACGTACTAAATAATAACGTTATTATGCCTAACCAAATAAAGTCTAGAAAAATATCCGGAACTCGCGTCGCGTTCACGCCGAGAGACGGTCATGTCGTAATTCGAATAATGGACCTGCTGCGAAGCCAAGCATCGGGAATACTCTCTTCAATTAACCATATTATTGTAAACGCATATACGAATGCCATTAAATATCCGCAGATTTCTAAAGCCGTTCAATCTACAGAGACAGGGCCGCATTTGCCATGAAACGATTCTCTCATTGTAAGAAGACATTGTTACTTCTTTAGAGGAACACTACTTTTTTTCCCGACATATTTTCAGTCTGCAATCTGTCAGATCGATGCCCAAACGCGACCGTTAAAACTTGTTTCTTTAAAAGAACGTGTCCCTTATCGCGATCTTCGAGATGAGACTCAACCCTTGAGACCTTGAACGCGCGAAACCGAGTCTGCGGAGGAGGCGGATAACTCTTACGGAGTCAGCGGAGTCGCTTATGGTTCGCCACGGGGTTGTAGAATGATGGCGCAAAGCCATCGAGAATCGGCGTACGGTTTCACAGCAAGCCGCCGCCGTAAAAGACGGCTTCCCGGGCACTCCGCGAGATCGCCGCCTTAATCTTAACGCCCGTCGGGCATAAGCGACAACCGCGATATCCGCCTTCCAAACGCGGCGAAAGAACGGCCGCGATGAAAAGCCGCGGGATAAAGCGGGAAATAAGAGGGATACCCGTCGCGCGCGCATACCTCTCTCGTCCGGCAACATTGATTCAATTAGCGGATGAAGACGCTTCTCGGAGGTAGGACGATGATGGCAATTGAAACGCGAAAAAGTACTTGATGGAGAAACGTAGACGCGCCGCTGGCGGAAAGCGCAAACACTTGCGCGCTCTCTCTCTCTCTCTGGTATCTCTTCGTCTCTTTGTCGAATTTCAATTTATTTCAATATAAAAGAACTTTCTCAGGCACGTTTTATATATAATCGATTATTTCTCAATAATATATGTTCATCAATTTTATTAATTTTTTTTTCAAAACATAAATGATAAATAACCATTCTCTTGTCATGTCTAGATATTATATATTTAATCTTTAATGTTGCGTGAAAAGGATTATTATATATACGTCACGTCTACTTTGACGGTTGCAATGATTGTCGCTATCATCGAGAAATGTTTGCTGTGATAATGTATGATATAATAATCGAGAAAGGGCAATTGATATGTATAATATCGTAAAACGTGCAAATATTCCATATAAATTGTTCCTATATTTATCGAACATATTATCACGATGACGGTAACAGAACAGTCATCGCAATTGCGTGCGTTGTAAGTTGACAGGAAGTACTCCTTTAAAATTATAGTAATTGTCACTTACAACAGTCAGGTACACACGAGAATCTTTTTCGTTCGATCGCGATCGATTGCTTCATCGTCGGTCATGCGATGTTCTGAGAAAAGCGGCCGCGTTTCGCAACAAATGCAAATTATGATTCTTACATTTGAAATGTTAATGACAACTGTGCGTTATACATTCCAATCATGAGAGCATTTTTCATACCATTAATGAAAAATTTCAAAATTTCAAAATTGATGCAATCTAATATGTACCGCGTTTATCGATACAAACAGTGATATTACTGTATTCTATGGTGTTTTAGACGCGGTTTTTTACGATTCGGTTGAATAACTCGAATGTTTTTATCGGTATATTTTCTTCCCAACACGCGATACTCAT